AAGACCCACACCAGCCAATGCCTTTTTTCGCATTAATTGTTTGGGCATAGATAGAAGAGATATTTGTTCATAAATTAGTTTGTATGAATAATAGGTGGCTCTGCTAGCAATTATTTAAACCCAAGAAGCCTGGTATTTGGGCTGATACCAGTTCAATGCCAAAAAAGTAATGATGTAGAAATGTTCCCTAAACAGATATCTTGAACTTCTAATAATTCAGTTCTACTGAATTATTCAATTCTAAAAATCTTAGCTGAATATTCGGGACGTTACACTCCTAATACATTTGGAGGACACCAGATTGAAGAAGATTCTTCTTGAGAGATCAACTGAGTAGCAGTCATGGACATTCTATTGATCACATAGTAGGAGAACCATGGCCATTAGTATTAGCTAAAGGAATTGTACATACAAAACCTTTAAAAAATATCCAGGCTAGTTGGACTGATGAATAACTGGACAGGTTGTTCCAGGTGCAGAGCATACCTTACAATAATGACATGAGTGAAGGCAACAGATGTCCAGGTAAAAAATGATGGTTACTGGCACAGAGTGTGAAGTGAGGTATGATGTAGGCATTACCATGGGCATTCAGTAAGGGTCATGCAGTGAATTGGCATGAGTTAGGACACATTGAAAAAACTCTATATAGGGATTCTACATAAATATTGGTCCTTCAAACAAGACAAATTAAGTCAAATAGGAGAAAACACACATTAGTCTTTATTATTATTATTAAAGTATCAAAACGTAAAACTTAATAAAAAACCATCTTTACTGTATTATTAACTGTTCAAATAAAAACAGATATGTGCATTCATGCACTTCTCCCATTCAAAATATCTCCTAACCACCATGAAGACCAGAATCTGGTCTTGTACGAGTTTGCATATGCCCTAGATAACAAGGGAAAATTCCACCATGGTCACATCTACAGTCATTGCAAACAGGCAAAGTTACATCAGGTGGATTTTCCCTGACATGGAGCTGTCAGATCACAGTCCTGTCCTATAAACTAGAGCATATCCTATACCCAGTCTTTCTGCCTGTTATTCTCTCAAGCAATGAAAAAATAGACTGTTGTACCATCTTGAGGCACATGCTCTCCCAACACTCAAATAAACTGATGTGCAGAAGTAGCCACAGCTAAACAAAAAATCTCTTTGACAAAGGTAGCAGTAAACATTTGGCATGCTAGTTAACAACATTTGTGTAACTTGAAGCAGCAACAGCAACATGACGCCTGCGTCATTTTAAATAGGATATCAAACACGCATAGAAAAATATTTATGGGAGAAATCTTAATTCTCTCATGAAATTTAACAAAAATCGTCTACATAACATCATACATAAAACAGCATCAGAATCTACTTTTTTTCTTTATTGTTCTGGACTGCTTTTGGAAACATCTGAAATATATGGACAGAGTAGTGGGTCTGTATATGCTTTTGGGAGGTATCATACTGTGCTAGCAGGCCATTGACTTTTATTACCGGAGAAAGGGCTTGAACTCAGGGAGCCTTTACATAAGTGGAAACTGTCTTCTACTTACAGAAGGTCTACTCCATGTCTAGATCATTAACTGAACAAAATGAAAGCAAATCCTGAGATGCTCTTCCAAAGTAGAAGAAATCTGTGTGAAAACAAGAATCGATAGGATGGCCACAAGATTTGTCAAAACAAATATATCAAATCTCCCTCTGCCCAAAGAGAAAAAGAGCAAAAGAGATTACAAGATTGACTGACATATATGCAGATTTAAATGCAGAAGTACAAATTTGGAAACCATTCCTAGAGTGTAAGGAGTAATACAATGCATCTCACTGGAGTGGGGAAGATTTGAACTAATTCCTCCATCTAGTGGCTTTGTCTGCTGCTCATGTACTAACTGGACATGGGTAATTCCCAGGTCTCTTCCCTCTTTTTTTGGTGACTCTCCCTCTTTGCACTAGCCATGGAATGGACAGTCGAAAGCTGAGGACTATTTTCACCAAAGCAAGAAATATGGTCACCCTAATGATGGAGCCTATTGGAATATTCTTCTGTGCTGTTTGCAGCACAGGCTATACGTTTCCTTCCACTTTTTGTTTTTGGATCCAGCCCACAGCATTTACACTGAGTGAAGTATGTTTTCAGAGACGACAACAAAAGTTGCAGAAGGTAAGTGCTGTATGTGTTATCATATATATCTATATGGGTGCATAGAATTATTGTTAATCATTGTTTAATAAACCCAATTAAAATTTGTTCAACAATGTTCTTGCTAGCAGTTTGCACTTATATAATACCTCTCCATAAAAAGTACAGTCACTGAATTGATATATAAAGGCCACTGGGATCTTTTGTCAAACATGGTGAGGAAAAACATTCAGAAACAGCAAAATACATTTCCTATGCAGGAAGAAAAAATAATTCTCTAAAGAGACAGAATTTGGCCCATTTCCTTGCATTTCGGTTACATGAAATATATATTTGGAACACACTATTGGACATAACAATATATCCAGCTCGCTGAAAGCATATTAAATACTTCTGTTGCAGAATTTAAAAATCAGTGTGAGATAAAACAGAAAAGTAAACTAGTCAAAACTGAGGGTCTACATTTTTGATGCTGCTGTTTGAGTATTGTATATGTATATGAATTTTAACAGAAGTAATGTTTGGATAAAGTATTCTGTTCTGCAAGCTATTTAGTCTACTGCTTCGATTCTGTCATTAAAGAAAATAGATCTCAAAGACCAAAACATGCAAATACTGTGTAACATACTTAAAAAGTTGAGCAATTTTTTTCTTTTTTTTTTAAATGTATGCCACCCTTTAAAACCACGTTTTTTCTAGGGCAGAAATTGCAGAATTAAAAACCTGAGCCTTCTAATTTAGTTTAAATTCTGGGTAGAAAATGTTTCAGAAAACATTTGAAGTTTTGCTTTATTTTTGTAATTTTGTTTTTGCATTATTTTGAAGTTTGTAAAGAAGAACGTAGGTTTTTAAAACAAACCCTTTAATTTTCCAGATATTGAGATCTAAAATGACATATCTTGCACGTTCAGCAGAGTGCAGACTTCTAGATTCTATTTTACTTCTTATTATAAAGGTGAATTGTTAAAATCTGAGACATAATATTCTTGTACTGTTTAGGAATATGATAAAAGGAGTAAGTCCAGTGCAGAGATCCTCATATGTAAAGTCTGGGAATTGTGGCTGGCCTTTTGAACAAGAAGGTATATGATATCTGGAATTAATCCTCCATTATCATCACCTCAGCATAACAATGATCGGCACTGTTGAAGCTGATCACATGGGTAGACAATTGAAGGATTGGGCATTGGGTTTTATTCCAATCAGCACTACAACTAGAAGGATCATCTATGGAAGAAATCTATTGGGAATAAGGGAGGAATCCTTGTTCAGTGACATAGTATCTGCTTCATATGCAAGAGATCCCAGATTTAACCTTCTGCATCTCAGCTTAACCAGGAGTGTGAACTTAGTGTGACACTGTTGAAGGGCAAGTTCAAGGAATACAAAAACTGTTAAGCATTGTGATCTATGACTGTGGAAGGAAGTAGGTGAATGCAGTTCCTTGGGGACAGCAAATTTCACGGTAGTATCATTAGATCAAGTTAAATATAGAAGTTAACATTGCCAGTTAAACAGACTATAATCTTTGTTGTTTGAAATTTACTATTAACTGAGAATGGGTGGATAGCATTTCAGCTGAGTGGGGGTAAAAGGATCCTTGTTTTTAGATCCAGTTTTCAATCCACAGATATTTTACCAAACAATTTTTTTTCTTTCACATTAGTGTAAAGAAACATGGAAAGATCACATGCAACATTCAGAACTGAAGTTAGGTAAGTGTTACAGTAAGTCTCTGATTCATTTTCTCATTGCATATAGAGTGCTGCAGGCTGAGAAGTACAGTGGTCAGAGAAACTTCAGGCATCCAGTAGGAACAGTAGGGCTATAAAAGACTAGGCTAACCCCTAGATGGCAGAAATGAGATAGAGCTGTCTGTATCTCTTTGCTGCTATCTAGTGATCATCCACATCTTTGCAGCCCAGATCTGGTAGCCCTAACCCAAGGAGTACAGATAGTCCTCAGTTAACGATTGCCCTGTTTAGTGATCATTCAAACTTACAACAGTACTGAAAAAGTAACTTTGTGACTGGTCATCCAACTTACAGCAGCATCATACAGTCACATGATTGCCATTTGAGAGCTTTACAGCCAGCTTCTGACAAGCAAAGTCAATGGAGAAGCCAGCAGTAAGTCACAAGTCGTGGTCACATGTCTGACTTAATGACCGCATTGCTTAGCAATAGAGTTGCCAGTCCGAATTGCAGTTGTTAAGTGAGGACTATCTGTAAAATGAATGCATTGCAGTCTATGATTTCCCATATGATTCCACAAGGCTCCAGAACTTTTTCCAAAGGGGTACCTTCCAGATGTGTTGAGGCAACTCCCAGAATACCTAGTCTGCATTGTCTTTTGATCATCCTGGCTGGGAATTCTGAGAGTTTAGCCCTTATACATCTAAAAGAATGTCCTGCAGGACAAAGAGCACTTTAAGAAGTTTAATCTAAAAGTTAACATTGCCAGTTAAACAGACTATAATCTTTGTTGTTTGAAATTTACTACTGATAGTATGGAAGGCCAATGCTAGTTTTGGGGAGTGCTCCCATACTTCTAAGAAGATCCAGATTTTATGATCAACACAACTTCAGTTCAACATGGAGCAAGACTCAGCAGCTGGCCTAAATACAACCAGTAAGCCTCCATTACTATCTTCTACTACTTGTTTATAGAATGATGAAAGAAGCATCTCCTGGGCTTGCTTTTAAGTTCTTAAGAAGCTGTCATGATTCTTGGGCTACTTCCTCATGGGCCTTCAAAGGGATACTTTTAGTAAAGAATCCCTTTAAAGTGGCTTCAAAAAACACTGCATTCCCCTGACCCACTTCTAAAAGCAAAATAACTATGTTACATCATCTCATTGGCTTTGACTATTTCCTCTGACAGTTTCACTAGATGAAAGAAGTTTCTGTGCATGTGCAAAAGCTTCTTCTAGTGCTGCCAGGAGCTGACTGGAAGTCTCTTCTGACTCATGGACCTGCCAGGCAAGGATTCAAGGCAACTAAAAACCCAGGCTCTACTGAGGAGAATTGTGTCACGTTGCCTCACTGAAAAGAATCACATTGCTTTTGTGATGTGAAGCAATCCATCAAGGCAAATCCAAACCACATAGCCGACCTTTACTTTTTTCATCTTAGCAGAGCCATAACCTTAGTCATTGGACAATTTTTCACTTAGTTAATGCCTACATATGAATTAATATATGTAAATTGCCAGCAATCACATTTTCTGGTTCTGAAAAAGATTGTGCCAAGGAAACATTTGTAAGTTGAGGATCAAGGACAAGGTGAATCACAAGTCAGAGAGAGCATTCAATTTTACATCTCTAGTGATCATACCATGGTTATATAACATTCTTTTGAATACTGCATGTGACTCATTGAGTTTTTGGAAGGGATATTCCCCCTTCTTAAACTAAGCCAGGAGTGGTAATGCTCCAACTTGATATATTGAATCTTAATCCAGTGAGAAGTTCTGCAAGACACTGAAGCCAGTCACACTGTCCCACAATCACCTCTAACTTGAGTCATCGAAAAACCCACAGAAGGGCTTTTATGAAAACATTTTTTAACAAAGTGCAGTGCTCAGGTTAAATGTTGCATTAGTTGTAGGAACACACAGCAATTCCCATTATATTGCAATGCTTTTTGGAACTGAAAGCAGCATTCTGGAAGTTGCTAACCTCTTTCTTTTGAAAGTATAAAGCAAAACAAATAAAACACAACCCAGTCTGCCTACATTTCCTACCCAGTGAGTAGAATCCTTTCAGCTTGGCAGTTCATCAGATGTGCATCCCGAGAACCCTTCTGTCCTACCAGAAACATTACAAGTGCATGCCAGCAGGAGTTTAACAAGTCTAGAGCCATATTGCTTCTAGGATAGCAAGTATGGCAGCTGGTTAAATCTGGAGCAAAGGCTGTGGCTCTCTTCCACCCAACTGAGTCTTTGCTAGCTAATGCTGAAGCTAACATAGTCCTTTCTTCTTAGCAAAGTCATGTCAGATCCATCTTCTCTTGACTAAATGGAGGCCACAAATGTTGAAATAACTTCTCTGTGGCTACTAACTTGGGGTGGCAAGTTGGTTTTTTTGATGGTAAGAAGCATGGCTAAAGAACATTGAGCACTGTCTCATCATTGTTTAGCCTTGCAAGGTTCCCTCCTTGATCTGCTGAATGAAAAGGTTCCTTTCATCCTCTGGTGTCCTACCATTCTGGGCCCGGACAATACAGGTGGGTCTATGTAGGTTGAGCATGTAGATCAAGTGCTGCTTCTCATTTTTCAGCTCTTCAATCTGAGCTTTCAGTTCTGCATTGATTGTTTCCAGTTTTTCTGATTCCTGGAAAAAAGGTATAAACATAGAAGTGGAAGCTTTAAAAATACAAGTGAAAGAAGAAGAAAAAAATCTGTAGCTTAGGGCTCATTCACATGACTATATGTGCTGGGAAATATGCTATGGAAACCCATTTTCTGTCAAGATTAAATAGGTGATTATGATTATTTCCTCTTTGTATTATTTTGCCTTTGTATGTCAGCTTCTCAATCTTTTGACCTCTATGCAGAATTCTGTAGCTAAAATTGTTCACCTCCCCCGTGTTTGGACCATCCAATACATTTTCCATATACCTTATATGCCTTCTCATTTCCTCCCATACCCCCTTTAACAAGTTATTATCTTTCCATCTTCTTACCATTTTCCCCAACATATATTTTTGTTCTTCCAACTCTATAATGCTCCATTTATTTCAATAATCTGTCTTACTTGTTTTTTTTTAAAGCCAGGTCTCCCCTCTTGAATACTACCACTTCTATTTTTAAATTTCCTTCAAGAGCCTTCTGTTTCTTGAAGTCACAGCTCCAACCCAACCAAACAAATCCCTGTTTTATGGTGCAGTGGTTCAGGTGTTAGACTGGAACTGGAAAGTCATTATAATTCACTGGAAAATTTTAGTTCAGTCACTACATCTCAACTCATAGAGCTGAGCTGGGAAAACAACTGGTGGAAGCAGTCTGAAGGAAAAGCAATATATAAATTTAATGGATAAATGATCTGTTATTATCACTCCCTTCCTCTATTTTCTGCAATTTGGTGCCCTCTATAAGTTTTTGACTACATCTCTGGGTGGCTGGGGAATATAAAAGATACAGTCCAACATGGCCAGAGAATCTCCTATTCCCTTTATTCTTTCACCACTTAGCCAAAAGACCCTGAATTTAAGATGCAGGCAGGCAGGCAGGCAGAAAGGAAGGAAGGAAATCTGCCTCTCATTTTAAAGATTAGTTACTTGGGAGAAAAAAATGTAGCCTTCCTTTCAGATAAACACAGTATTTAAAGCATCAGATCTTTGAGGTAGTGGTTTGCCTTTCTGGATTTTTTTTTTTTCCTGCTACAGCTACAACTACAGTGAGCATTTGATTAATTCTTCTGATTAAGTTTTGAAAATTGTTTAAATTTTAAGAGAAAAGATTACCCAATATTATTCAGGCTAGTAGCCTTAATCAGTTAAGCAATATCACTTCTAAAGCTTTCATGTAAGATTTTACATTTTCTTTCCAGATAATTGGTAAGCCTGAATAATTTCATCTTTAGCAACCTAAGCAATATTATGATCAATCAACAACTCACAGTGAAAACCTTCACAGTCATTTTATCAGTGAACTTTTAAGGACCTTTCACCTTACATAGATGTGTCTACATTTCCCAGATATTAACCCAGAGGTATCAGTTAACTTACTTTCTGGAGGCATTCAGTTTTTTCCTTCTTTTTGTTTCGACACTTTGCTGCTGCAATCTTGTTTCTTTCTCTCCGACGTCTTTTCCTTTCATCTTCTTCAGGTGCGCACTAATAGAATTCAAAGAGGTTAGGGCTGTTTGGTTATCAGTCAAAAGAGAAGTGGCAGGGGGTGGGGTGGGGAGAGCAAGTCTTTATGTTCCCTATGTTATAATAGCACTAAGTGTGATTTGTTCCCTGTCAACAAAATGGCTAACTGGTTAGTTCACATTTAGCCATTTTACTTTTACTTTGTATGAAAGTTGTCTGGCATATTTAGGAGATCACTGGAACATAGAAAGTTGATGTACAGTAAGTCAGAATAGCTCTGATATGTAAGAACAGCCTTGAAAAAACTTCCCTGCAGTCGCCAAATAGTGCCAAATGTATTTGAATTTATTTGATCTATTAAAGAGGGTAGATGCAAACTCTGCCCCTTATGAACCAGTGTGTGGCATCACTACTATATCATTATGATGTCATCTTTTGTTATGTAGGATAGCTACCTAAGCAGGGTTGGACCTCATTAGTTACTGTATGGGAAACCACCAGGGAATTTCAAAGCTGTAAACTAGACTGGGAAGTTAAAGTTCAATATCTACCTACCTACCTACCTACCCTGTCTGTCTGTCTGTCTGTCTGTCTCCTGGAAGAAGGCAGTGGCACACTACTTCCATCTAATCAACTGGAGTCAATTTTGATTCAAGGGAAAGTCAGCATTACATAACTTTATAATAATGAAGTTTGGCACATTCTATGATTTATCAATAATGATAATGATGATAATAATAATATTAATAATAATGATGATGATGCAGGGGGGAGACGTTCTCTGTTTTTAGAAAGCAGATTAAAAAGCCATGGTTGAACATAACATAAAAAATAAAAATAGAATACCTGTCTTTTTAAGAGAGATGTTTCACCAGATCTATCAGAAACCATGACTGTATCCAAGGTGGAGGGCATCCTGTGAGATAGGCACTTATTCTGGATGGCAAATCTTAATTCTTCTTTCACCAATGGGGTCAGATTTGTGAAGTCTTCAAAGCCCAGAGATACTGGAGGAGACAAGCATGGAATAATTGCAGAAGCGCTGACTTCTGAAGCAGACACCTGGCCCAGGTGTTGGAGCATCATTTTGCTGCATGGGAACAAGGATGATAAGAATGAATCTTTCCAAAGTTTAATGAAGCAAAAAAATATTGACTACAGCAGTCAATTCAATTAATACAGAGTTCAGAAAATCAAATACTGGATAATGATGAGATTCTGGCCCATGATTGGATATTGATAGAACAATTATATGTACACTTGCAGACCAGCATTTATTTATTTATTTATTGTATTTATATAGCCACCCATCTCAGTCTTGTGACTCTGGACGGCTTACAATGCAAAACATGAGAACAAAAAACTAATAAAACAACATTACAACAAAGCTGAGACCCTTAAAATCTATAATCCAATCAACTAATAGCCTGGCCCCAGTGCTGAGTGAAAAATCAGGTCTTCCAGACTTTTCAGAAGGCTAACAGGGTTGGGGCTGCCTGGATCTCAGGGGGGATGCTATTCCACAAGGCAGGCACTTCAACAAAGAAGGCAATCATCACCTTCACCACCACCACCACCACCACTTTAACTAGAAATTGACCTACATTTCACAAAACCATCAGGAAGCAATCTTACCATATAATATTACTGACTACAAATAACTACATTGAATAGTACTGGTTAAGGAATACTGTACACCAAAAAATGTAAGACTGAATGAGTGCTTGTGCAATAAAACTTCTTGAATTTGGACAATTCATTTCTAATTAATATCCCTGTCTCATGTTTAGATAATTAGGATCTGCACATGACATTGTCTTATACCTGTGTTGTTTACAAGTGTTAAATACACCAAATCAATAGTGAATAGTGAAATAGTTCGGTTTTTTGGAAACAATATATATCTTTCACATATATAAGTGTTCACATCTAGTTTGCCATTCTAATTATTTTCAGAAGCAACTCTTTTCTTACAGCTACACTGTGGAGATTAGAGGCAGACAGCATTGGTTTTCTGCTCACTGAAATCAAGCATCTTCCTTATACTTTATTGGAAAAAATATGTTTGGGACATATAAGGACAGAATCGTTTATTTGTCTCCTTCAGTAGATTCTGAAATCTACTTTGCATAATAACTATAATCACAGCAATATTACAATTCACAATAGATAAGCCAATTATTGCCTTTAGGCATTTATATACACAAATGCATCCAATAAGCTATTAAACAAAATTTAGTTTATGCATTATCTTTTACAGTTTCAGGTAATGGTTAGAGTTTGACAAGCCCAATTATGAACAGACACACCAATGTTAAGTCTTTTATTTAAAGTGGTATAATAGAGAGCAAATCCAAATCAGGTCCAAATTTATTTATGAAATAAAATAAAGACTCCAAGTTCTTTAATGCTTGTTTTATGTCCACACAATTTCTAGACCTTCAAGATATACACAACCAATGGTTAACACAGAAAGGACTTCCATATACTATTAAATATGTACTGTCTCTATATGGTCATGGACACATGCTTTGCTACTTGTAAAAGACATAAGTGAATTATTTATTTATAATTATAAATTTATATCAGATCATAATTATATAAATATATAAAATTATAATATAAAATATAAATTTATAAATATTTAATAATAAATACATAAAAATAAAAAATGTAAATATAAAATAAATAAAAAAGACATAAATAAACCCATAGTTATCTGTAACAGCAAAATGTACAGTAAGCATTTGACAATATATAGAGAGTGCCTACATTAATCTTTTCACTGCTGTATTTTCTGTTTAGCAATATAATGGTGTACAGACCTAACCTCAAACAAGGAAAGTAGAAAACCAAAGGATTTTTGACCTCTTGATCATCAGAGAGAAGATTTCCTGGAATTGTAATTTACATAGACTTTGAGAAAATTATGTAATTTTGCTAAGAAATTCCCTAAATCATGAGTCATGGCTCAAAAATCCTGATTCTCCTTAATCCTTTTAAGAGGCAGAAGATATTCTACTCAAACCAAGTCAACAAAGGTTTACAATGCTCAGGTTTATCATTTAAACCTTCAACTCAAATGGTAATAATAATCTGCTCCTAGCATTAGTCACAATTGTTTTAAAAAACAACTGATGTGTGAATCTTTCATTTATTATAAAAAGCATATAATTCTCGATGGAATATATAGAAAATGCATACCTGTTTCATCTTTGTAGGGATAGGAAACTGCCTTACAAAGTTCAGAAAACTGATGCTGACAACAAAGTACTGTAAAGAATGGGTAACTTTACGCAGGGACGCATGCACACACACAGGTCTCATAATTAGCTGTGGTCTATAGGTATCTCATAAGAATGTCAATTCCTGGTGTCCCATTCCTTACACTGCCATTATTTTTGGCTTTATCACAACTTGAGAGTTTGGGGAATAGCCAGGGCCTCATTACACCTATCTTGTGGTAGAGAAACAGCTGAGAATGCTGGCAACACAACAGCACTTTGGAGAGAATTACTACAACTTCAAGGCTATAGTAATCCTATCCCAACAACCACACTACATTCTCAGCTGTGTTTCAGATGGAGGATTGAGTTCAGTGATCTTTCCTCATTACTAGGTAACCAAAACTAGCTCCTCACATCTCAAACTTGGTAGAGCACCTCCTGAATCAGGGAAGAGGTCTCCAAGAGGTATTGAGTCCTGCACATTGACACTGACTTAATTGTATGTCCACTACAACCCCAAACTTCCTCATGCACAGAAGGCTGTTTGACCTTCATTATACCCCAGAGATGGAATTAAGAGATAACTATAGTATTCGATAATCTTTATACTGAATGAGCAAGAACTGGAATCTGAGTTTCTTATTTTCATTTCCAACCTTCGTTTTATATCATCTACCAGGCTTTCCTTGGCTTAGATTTACTTTACCGGTATTACCTTTATTTAAATAACTGTCATATACACTCAGCCTATAGAACTATCCAAAACAATACAGAGCCTTGTAACTGTCAAAGAAGTTACAGAAACAAACTGAATATTTTATTACATCCAGGAAACTGGATATCTCCTATGACCATTGCAAGGTAGTTGCAATCACATGAATGCATTGAATAATTATTTACAGCCGTGTCACAGTTTTACTTCCAAATTATTCTAAGTATATCTGATATACCAAACTTATGTTTTAAAATGTTAAAAGGCCCTAATCTCTTTGCCAACTGCCTCCCTTTAAACAAGGTAATGGGAAAAAAATCTCCTACTTACCACTTAACAATTAGCATTTAAATTAACATTTAATGGATGAGTCATTGGGGAATCTAGCCCACCTTCCCTGTACTGGTTAGGGGTGGTGGAAACTGTAGATCAACATATATGGGGGAGTTAAAATTGAGCAAGACTAAATGATTCAAGGATTGTCTACTCTGTACATCAAAAGTTCTTCACTTTTATCTTCATTGTGTAATGTCTTCTAATAAAAGAAACGAAATCAGCCTTCGGACTTAGGCTTATCAAAGGATCTACTCTACCATATCAGTGCATTAGAATCAACATCACAAACATGTTTTTTAATTTATTATCAAACTTTTTATTATTTGTATTTATTTACAGTACCATCAAATTATTATTTAATAAATTATTCAATTTATAGGCTGCCTGACTCCATTGTGACTCTGGATGGCATACAATATATGAAATTTAAAACAATGCAGCTGCACAAAAGGAAACATTCAGAAAAGCCAAACACAATTTCATAGATCAAGCAAACCACAAGGGGTCCATCCACCACGTACTCTAGCCCAGGGCCTGAGGAAAGAACCAATTCTTAGCACTTGTTTAAATAAGGTCAAGGTTGGGGCCGTACAAATCTCAGGGAGGATGTCATTCCAAGGATCAGGTGCTATGAGGGGTGGAGGGAATATTTATTTTTGCTCATATAGCAATAGAAAATCCTATTTTTCTCATTTCTTTCAATCTGTGTCAATTAACTCACACTGTTAAACAAAGATATTCTGAGTTTTTTCAAAGGCCCATCCAATTAAAGAAGACTAGCACGTAGGCATTCTGAGGCAAAAGATACTACATTTCTGAAACTGTGTTCTAGAGTTATAGTTCAGTAAATTCTATATACATGAAAACAAAATCACTTTCCAAGTGTATATCATGTAGCCAACATGATGCAACCGATGTGCAAGAAAGAGGTAGCACAAGTCCAGGGAAAGTGCAAGGTTGTCAGAAGGACAAAAATATTAAGGAAAAAGAGAAAGGGAATTTCCTAATGGACAGGCTCAGTGACCATGGAATGCTGCGGAGGGAAGGAGGCCAAGAGCTGGAAAACTGGGGAGAGATGGGATGGAATATCTTTGAAAAGGTGTGGCTGGTAATCGGAAAATTAACAGTCCACACTATAATATTTATTCAGGTCCCATTTCTGTTATATTTTAACATCAATAGCTCACATTTTTATTATAACCCATAAAACTGTTTGTCTCTACCATTCTCAGAAGCTTCAAAAGCTGGATCACTTTTAGCTAACTTGGTTGGCATTCAGAGTTTTAAGATAGCCTCCTGATCTGACCCTTCACCCACTTTTTTTCAATCAAAACCTAAATGTTGTTCTTAGTCAAAAATTTTGCTTTGGCTTTTTCCCTGAATATCTTCTTCCTCCCTGCTGATGCCATAAGACCTGTTAACCAAAGTTAATATTTCACAGCTATAAGATTAATTAAAGTTCATAACCATCCTGAATTGAACTTGACCTTTTAGGACTTTTACATTGCAATCTGGCACATTTATTTGCTGTTTTTAAAATTACCAGTTGTTGAGACTATGAAAGGCAATTGATATGGCACCAGAAACTGCTCACTGTGATCAGTTTTCACTAGTGTCCTCATTTACTCCTGCTTAAGTTGGAAAATTGGACAAAAGCATACTTATAGCATTTTCCTCAATAAAGCGCTGTTGTATATGCAAAAATACATACGATATTTCAGTCATGTTTTAGACTAACAATCATTTACTCCATGTACAGTAGTTTATTTTGCCACTAATAACATTATTTCAGTGAACTGGCAGAAATTCTAGGTGGACATTTACTTAAGAATAATCTCTATTGAACTGAACTGAAATCCTGAATAAATGTATTTTGACATTTTTATTTATTTGTTATTTTACTTATATATTTTTGTCTTCTAAAAATCTGTACATTTATGCTTATACATATTTTAAGAAGACAGAAAATAAACTAAGGTGCTACCAGAGCTCATTGACACTGCACACATTGGTTCTTACTTCTGAGCAAACAATACAGATTTTGCTGTAAGGTTAAAGTCTTATAAATATTTCTTATGAATTAGGAAGCTTCTTATGAAGTTCATGGGCTTGGCTCCAAGAAAGCTCACTACACTGGCTGTCTGGGCAACTACACAGACTTAACTTTAGGAGCAAATCCCATTTAATTCAGCAAGACTTACTTTTAAGCTTAGATTGGAATAAATCCTGGATTTACTAATGACTCATCTTCATATAAATAAAATTGACAGATGTAGATATTTTCCTTGTGTCCATAGGATCACTTCAGTAAAAGCAAACAATTTGCTGTTAATATTTATCTGTATCAGCTTTTCCAACTTTGGGCCCCTTGCTTATCTTCATAGTTCTTAATTTCTGGTCAACATGGCCAATAGTAAATCGATCGCTACCTCTCTCCCCTCACACAGAGACACAAAAATCTAATTCTCGAAAGTCCCAGACATCGCCTCAAACACTGCAATCCTGAAATAAACCTACAGCTGCTGGCAGAAAGCCCGCTCTGAGGTAAACATGCAAGGCTGAGCAACTTTACAGTAGTTCAAACCCAGCTGCTTTAACACCTGGAGTGAGCAGAAGCTAGACTGAGTGGTAGACCTCCGTGTGATGTAAGGGTTTCTGACTCCCAATTATTGAACAATAGCTCTTTTGAGAGCTTTGTGGTGAAAAAGAAATATTCTGAATACGGTGAACTAGTCAGTTAATCAATAGATAACAGGAGAAGGAAATGTCTGCCCACCCAGATCAAAAAATGAAGGAAACCTTAAGGTAACCAGGGATTAATTTCTGAAGTGAAAAAGTTAACATTCTTTTGTATCTGGTGCTAGGACTCTTTCATTATAGATTATTAATTTTGCATCTGCCTCTGGTTGGTAAGTCACAGGTTTTTTTCAGGAAAGCACAGATACGCATACGCGCAGGAAAATCCACACACCTGAAAAGCACCTTTCCCTGCTTTATAATATTGCGTCTAAAAACAAAACTGACAGTTCAAACCGGAGCATCCTGCGCAGAGCAGCAGCCGCGCTCGCAACCGCCCAGCTCGCCACCTACCGATAACCGAAGGTATCACCAGCCAACAAAGTTAAAACTTTGAATCTTGCCGTCGCGCTTCCCACAGCTTACTGTAACCGAGCGAGTGATACGGTCATTTGATTATTATCGAGTCTGAGAGACTATCGAAAAACTTGTTGGAAATGACAAGTTGGGGATGACCTTAAACAAATAGCCGCAATAACTTTTTCTATGCGCTGTTTTTTACACAGATGATCTATCTCGGAATGTCAAGTTGGACCTGTAGCGTCTGGACCGCGCGGTAAGGAGAAAGGTGGTTTCTCTCATCCGACCCGTCCCCCAGGAAGAGCACCCTGGCGATCGGCAGAATTGTAAAACAGCAACCAGCGAAGCGCCAGAACTGCTAACAAGGAAGCGAAACGGGAGTTTCTCTTTCTTAGGCGTGCCTAAGTGAGCGCTCAAAGTTTCTTTCGGATGAATGAACTTTTACTTTCAGTTGGTCTGATTTCAAAGGGAAAGAGAAATTGCCTGATGGGGGGGTTTTTTGTAGTTTTGTTTTGTTTTGAATTGTTTTCAGCTCGCCAGTTCTGCAAAAGCGAAATATCTTTAATTTCTTTGATCATAACTTTTTTCCGTCTTCGTCCTCCCCAACGCGCCAGAAAAACCCCACCGCATCATTAGGTGAACGAAAGAGATGGAAGGACGGATACACACGTATTTAGAACCGCGAGTTTCTACGCACTTTCCCCCCCTTTACATATAAAACCACAACAGCTGGACAAAGAGCAAAGACCTTTTTTTTTTCCCCCTGGACTTTACCCCTTCGTTTGCCCCACTCCTCCCTGGTGTCTCGCTCGCTCCCTACCTGCTTACTCCACTTCTTCTACGTGCCTTCCTTCTTCGCAGCGAAGAACTACACAGAAAGTGAAACAGCAAACGCAGGGAAATGCGAACTCGCAACAGCGGGAGCGGAGTTTACGAAATGAGTGCTGTGGGGACTCCAGTCAAAGCAGGATGGGTGCCGCCGCTCCCTGATACTGGATGGCAGCAGCGATCGCTGCCGCGACTCGCTGGCTCTGAGCGCCTCTCCGAACCTCTGGCTCCCCGCGCGGTTGCATCACCCCCTTTATATAGCCAGCGGACAGCGCTGGTATTTACTCTGCCCGCCAGTCCAGGGTGATGTCATGCTATTAAAAGACTCCTCGGGGAGAGCGGGCCAGGGGGGAGGAGCCGCGGCCGCGGGGGCGGGGCCTCCGAGTGACGCAAGCGCCCAGTTCACGCTCCCGAAGAGGCCGGCGGCGCGGCCAGGTGGTGGGCCGCCGGCCAGAGGCGAGCACCCTTCGCGG